ACTCTTTCCAGGATGTCTCAAGATTGACGCTGAAGTTAACATCATTCTTTTCTTCTTTTGCTGCAGAATATGAATGATAAAGCTGCAGTGTGTGACCCACTTTCATATACATCCATCATGTTCTCCACCCTGGTGGCTGGAGTTCCCATGATCACCCTCAGCTGCACAGAACCTGATAGAGCCCACCTAAACTGCCACCATCACCAATGGAAACATCATCATCTCTATTATGACTCCAATAGCAGAACTTCAACTATCCACTGTTATACCGCTATGTTCTCAAAAGTGTTGTTGTGGACTGTTTCCAAATGAATGGGCGGAGTCTGACATGTAAAACCGCTTCTCGATTTCATCACCATTGTGCTGTGGAGCATCTCCTATCACTATATCCTATCATAATTATTTTGTTAAGGAAAATTAATGGTCTGGTTTCTACAACTTTCACTTTGGAGCAAAAATCTGGCTTTAAACTAGAAAAAAATAATGTGACATTTATCGTGATAATTATCGTTATCGACTGATATGAAAAAAATTATCGTGATATTTTTTTTGCCCATATCGCCCAGCCCTACTCTAAAATATGAAACACCAATGTTTGAGGAGTTTAGGACATATTTCGATAACGGTTTTATTTCCTATTTGATAGGTTTATGTAAATGCTTTATTTTTTTTTAAAGATTATCTGTTTTGTTTTTTTTCTAAGCCATTGTTAGATGCCAGTGTTTCCTGTCATAACTATGCAAAGATTTGATTTCAAAAACAGTATCATAGCTATTAAACTATTTCTTATGATTTTAAATCTGTATTTAACCTCAGAATGATCTCAAAGTAAGTCTGATTTTGTGGTGGCTGTGCTTTAAAATTAAATTATTATAATCTTAATTCAAGTGATGAAGGCTTTTGAAAGTCTGATAGTAATCAGTTTAAATGTTTCAAAATGATTAACAGTTGAAAACATCAGAATTTTAGAAAAGTCATCAAAAAGTAATCAAATGCAATCAGTTACATTACTTTAATAAAGTAATTGAAATAGTTACACTACATTTTAGATAGGGTAACCATTACATTTCCAAAATAAGCTTCCCAACACTGGTTATATATAGGAAAAACAACGGAAAATGACGTGTTCGTATACAGTAAACTCACCAGTGCTGCATTCATTATAAAAAATAAACATTATGTTCCTTACAAAAAATGTTTAGTTGTGTAATGCAGAGCTCGAAATTGATTCGAAAAATTCGTTTCTCTTTTTCTTTTCTTTTTTTGAGATCTTTTCAGCACTCATGCTAACGGTGAAGGCAATCCGTCAGCATCAGGTGAGAACAACAAAGTGTGATATACTGCTAGGTCTGTTTATGAGATGTAAGATTATGTAGCCTAGATTTAGTTGTAAAACGGTACATTTATAAGCTCATTGAAGTATAATGTATCATTTCACAAAGCAGTCACTAGATGGCGGTGTTAGTCTGTCCAAAGATAGCACACAAAAGAATATATCTTTAACTCTCCAAACCCTAATTTACTTCAGAAAGTAAAGAATATTTTCTTTTCATTGTAGGGGTTTAATGGAAAAGCTCAAGACCCAGGTTAGATTACAGTGTCCGTTAGACATGTCCAAATGAATGTAATTATAATTTTGAGAAGCATATGTTCTGAGCGTGATGATTAATTGACCAGAGATGATTTTCTGATGTCTTTCAGCAGGACAGAGTTACTTGTTTAATCCAGCAACAGAGGAGCACTGTTGGTTGGAACCTCGTCTTCCTGCGATTTGATCTCAGAAAAGAAATGAATCTTGATGTTCTTAAATAATTAAGTTAGTTAATGTTCTTACAGACCTCTCCAGGTAATGGTTAGCCGAAATCAGCCAGAGTACAATACGCTAAAATCAGAAAATGTTCCAGTTGATGCCCTACAGCAAGCCCTTAAATGTGTATTTAATTACTGCGATTGGATATTAAATTAATTATTCAGCCACTGATGTGAACTTATTAACCTCCCAAAAAGTACACTTGAAATAAAAACCACAGCTGGCAGAGCTTTATCTAGTGAATGAACTTTTATTTAAATTAAATCAGTATATAGGACTTTCAAAAGAAGTTTAATCTTTACCAAAAAAACAAAGAAAAAAAAAGAAGAAACAACAAAAACACTACCCTTTTTATCAATTAGATTTCCATTATTAATTACTATTTATTCTTACATGTGAAAATTCTGGAGAAGAAATGTTTACGTACAGTAGGACAACTTGGGGGAAAATAAAGTCCATTGTAAACGGAAGTCAAGGCACAAACAGAATGCTAGAAAGAGCAACAGGAAGATAGAAGAGAAGAAAAAAGATCGTTAGATATGGTTACGTACATACTTTAAATATCAGTTACATTTTAGCAGTTCTTTCCCCATTTGTGAAGCTTTTTTTGTGCTTTTTGTTGTTTTTTTTTTGTACTTTTTAAAATGTAATCTTAAAAAGGAATGTTACGCTGATGTGAACTGATTACTTGTATTGATATATTTGCTATCTTCTATCATGCAGGACAACTTTCCGTTTTGCTATCAACAAGGACGTCATGTAAACATCATTAAAAAAAAAAAAAGCGCTTTCCTTTTTCAATTATACTCTATATCCAATGCCTGCTGGTTGTTTAAAAAATAAGCATTATGCAATTAAGTTGAATAAAATTTGCACATCAGATTTCCTAGAGTAAAATAAAAGCATATAAAAAATTTTTTGCCTCTGTTATTTCTCAAAAATAAAAAAATGAACAAAAGGAGAGAAAATAAACAACAAAAATGGACAAAGGATAATAAAACAATTGGTGATTTGTGGTCATAGCACAAGGAGTTAATAATACAGATATTAAATGTCAAAGGAGGGAGAACAGAGGCTAAGGTTGTTGGCAATCATTGAAATTGTGTCGGACTCCGTCATGTGGAAGCAGGAGTCGTGGTTAGCCAGTGCAGATGCTCAGGACGTATTCCACCCCTACTTCCTCTGGTCATCAAAACTGTTCAAGTAATCTGAAAGAGGTAGAGAAATCAGTTACAAGTAGTGTGGAAACCAAAGGAGTCCAGTTAGTTTCAGTAATCAGTTTGCTCGTACCTCGACTCGTCTTCCTATTTTTGTGCTCTAGAAGAGCCCACAGTCCTTCAGGTTGTTTTTGATGATGACGTCGGTGACCGCGTCGAAAACGAACTGCACGTTCTTCGTGTCTGTGGCACAGGTGAAGTGAGGGTAAATCTCCTTGGTTTCTTTCTTCTTGTTCAGGTCCTCAAACTTAGTGCGGATATACTCGGCGGCCTCGTCGTAGTTGTTGGCACCTTGTTGACAAAGCACAATGAGAAAACAGCAGGAGTGGATGAACACGGAAAGATGGAAAATAAGTGACAGACATGAAGAAAATCATTCATAATGATCATTAAAGTGACATGACCTCTTGCAGTTAACTGGTATCAGTAAAGCTGCCTGTCCTGTGTTAGACTGATGTCTAATGCACAACCCTTCATAGGATGTTATGAATTGCTGGCCTTTTGGATATCAACACTGATGGACAACCAAAGTGGACCTCATTTGAATAAACCCCTTGATAAGCACTTGAAGTCAATAGCCTCACAAAAGACTTGTGGCCAAAACAGTCCATAATCCATAATAAGGCTTTCTCTAATGAAAAAAGTCCATCACCTGTTGTCCTCTCACATCAAAATCCACCAACATATTTGTTTAGAACCGTTTGGTTTGGTTTTTGCTTGTAAGCAGTGCTTGATCAGTGTATATTTATCTCCTGAATCAGCCAAAATGACTTTTAATGGGAGAAAGCAATGTTATGAATAGAGGACTCGTATTTTAGCCAGAAGCAATAGTTTTAAGCAGTGTTGGGGACGCTACTCTGAAACTGTAGCTTGACCAGCTACAAGCTACTCGTAAATTAAAGTAGTTAAGCTACATTCAAGCTGCCCTTCTGAAAAAGTAGCTAGCTTCATTGAAACTACTTTCAATTTATTATTATTTTGTTATTTTAGATTTTTTTTTTTACAACTAACATTACAAATAACTGAATAATTGTTAATGAAGAATTATAATGAAGTTATAAGTAAAATAGTATGTAAAACAACATATTGTAATGCAATCATGATTTCAAAGAGTAGGGTGAATTCAGGTTGATTGGGACACTTTTTCCAAGTCATTTCAATTACAAAAAGTGTCCCAATCATTTGATTTTGTAAACTATCTGATACAAACAATAATAAAATATAGTTATATAGTTACATGATCTCAAACTGACTGTCAACATGCAAAATCGCTAAGTCAGAAGACGCTGCGCTGCTTCAATGCATGCAGGACAGAGTTACTTGTTTAATCCAGCAACAGAGGAGCACTGTTGGTTGGAACCTCGTCTTCCTGCGATTTGATCTCAGAAAAGAAATGAATCTTGATGTTCTTAAATAATTAAGTTAGTTAATGTTCTTACAGACCTCTCCAGGTAATGGTTAGCCGAAATCAGCCAGAGTACAATACGCTAAAATCAGAAAATGTTCCAGTTGATGCCCTACAGCAAGCCCTTAAATGTGTATTTAATTACTGCGATTGGATATTAAATTAATTATTCAGCCACTGATGTGAACTTATTAACCTCCCAAAAAGTACACTTGAAATAAAAACCACAGCTGGCAGAGCTTTATCTAGTGAATGAACTTTTATTTAAATTAAATCAGTATATAGGACTTTCAAAAGAAGTTTAATCTTTACCAAAAAAACAAAGAAAAAAAAAGAAGAAACAACAAAAACACTACCCTTTTTATCAATTAGATTTCCATTATTAATTACTATTTATTCTTACATGTGAAAATTCTGGAGAAGAAATGTTTACGTACAGTAGGACAACTTGGGGGAAAATAAAGTCCATTGTAAACGGAAGTCAAGGCACAAACAGAATGCTAGAAAGAGCAACAGGAAGATAGAAGAGAAGAAAAAAGATCGTTAGATATGGTTACGTACATACTTTAAATATCAGTTACATTTTAGCAGTTCTTTCCCCATTTGTGAAGCTTTTTTTGTGCTTTTTGTTGTTTTTTTTTTTGTACTTTTTAAAATGTAATCTTAAAAAGGAATGTTACGCTGATGTGAACTGATTACTTGTATTGATATATTTGCTATCTTCTATCATGCAGGACAACTTTCCGTTTTGCTATCAACAAGGACGTCATGTAAACATCATTAAAAAAAAAAAAAAGCGCTTTCCTTTTTCAATTATACTCTATATCCAATGCCTGCTGGTTGTTTAAAAAATAAGCATTATGCAATTAAGTTGAATAAAATTTGCACATCAGATTTCCTAGAGTAAAATAAAAGCATATAAAAAAATTTTTGCCTCTGCTATTTCTCAAAAATAAAAAAATGAACAAAAGGAGAGAAAATAAACAACAAAAATGGACAAAGGATAATAAAACAATTGGTGATTTGTGGTCATAGCACAAGGAGTTAATAATACAGATATTAAATGTCAAAGGAGGGAGAACAGAGGCTAAGGTTGTTGGCAATCATTGAAATTGTGTCGGACTCCGTCATGTGGAAGCAGGAGTCGTGGTTAGCCAGTGCAGATGCTCAGGACGTATTCCACCCCTACTTCCTCTGGTCATCAAAACTGTTCAAGTAATCTGAAAGAGGTAGAGAAATCAGTTACAAGTAGTGTGGAAACCAAAGGAGTCCAGTTAGTTTCAGTAATCAGTTTGCTCGTACCTCGACTCGTCTTCCTATTTTTGTGCTCTAGAAGAGCCCACAGTCCTTCAGGTTGTTTTTGATGATGACGTCGGTGACCGCGTCGAAAACGAACTGCACGTTCTTCGTGTCTGTGGCACAGGTGAAGTGAGGGTAAATCTCCTTGGTTTCTTTCTTCTTGTTCAGGTCCTCAAACTTAGTGCGGATATACTCGGCGGCCTCGTCGTAGTTGTTGGCACCTTGTTGACAAAGCACAATGAGAAAACAGCAGGAGTGGATGAACACGGAAAGATGGAAAATAAGTGACAGACATGAAGAAAATCATTCATAATGATCATTAAAGTGACATGACCTCTTGCAGTTAACTGGTATCAGTAAAGCTGCCTGTCCTGTGTTAGACTGATGTCTAATGCACAACCCTTCATAGGATGTTATGAATTGCTGGCCTTTTGGATATCAACACTGATGGACAACCAAAGTGGACCTCATTTGAATAAACCCCTTGATAAGCACTTGAAGTCAATAGCCTCACAAAAGACTTGTGGCCAAAACAGTCCATAATCCATAATAAGGCTTTCTCTAATGAAAAAAGTCCATCACCTGTTGTCCTCTCACATCAAAATCCACCAACATATTTGTTTAGAACCGTTTGGTTTGGTTTTTGCTTGTAAGCAGTGCTTGATCAGTGTATATTTATCTCCTGAATCAGCCAAAATGACTTTTAATGGGAGAAAGCAATGTTATGAATAGAGGACTCGTATTTTAGCCAGAAGCAATAGTTTTAAGCAGTGTTGGGGACGCTACTCTGAAACTGTAGCTTGACCAGCTACAAGCTACTCGTAAATTAAAGTAGTTAAGCTACATTCAAGCTGCCCTTCTGAAAAAGTAGCTAGCTTCATTGAAACTACTTTCAATTTATTATTATTTTGTTATTTTAGATTTTTTTTTTTACAACTAACATTACAAATAACTGAATAATTGTTAATGAAGAATTATAATGAAGTTATAAGTAAAATAGTATGTAAAACAACATATTGTAATGCAATCATGATTTCAAAGAGTAGGGTGAATTCAGGTTGATTGGGACACTTTTTCCAAGTCATTTCAATTACAAAAAGTGTCCCAATCATTTGATTTTGTAAACTATCTGATACAAACAATAATAAAATATAGTTATATAGTTACATGATCTCAAACTGACTGTCAACATGCAAAATCGCTAAGTCAGAAGACGCTGCGCTGCTTCAATGCATTATAGGCTCGTGACTCGTCAGAATGCAAAACAGAATGTAGCGTTTGGTCGCGCAACACCGCTACTTGTTGGAAAAAGTAGTTAGCTACAGGAAAAGCTACACTGTTTTAAAAGTAGCGGAGCTACCTTAACACTACTGAAAAATGTAGTTGTGCTAGTAGCGTCGCTACTTGTAGCTAGCTACTTGGTTTTAAGTTAAAAAATGCCTTGATAGATTGTGATGTTTTTATCAGCTGTTTGGACTCTCATTCTGATGGCACCCATTCACTAAAGAGGATCCTCCGGTGAGCAAGTGATGCAATGCTACATTTCTCCAAATCTGTTCAGATGAAGAAACAAGCTCATCTACATCTTGGCCTGAGGGTTAGTATATTTTCAGTTTTGGGTGAACTATTCCTTTAAGTCAATAGTTGTTTTTAAAAAATGGACTATGCTATGATTTTTGTCTTCAGAAAAACAAACTGATCAGTATTATAAAACACATAGTTTCGACTTATATACAGAAAAAAAGCACATTCTTTATAAATGTAAGTTTCTAAATTGCTAAGTAACTTGTAGCATTAAAAAGGTTTATGGAATATATATTACTTGGTGGAACAATAGTTTTGTCTAATATAATATTAATATCCATAATTTATTTTATTGCACAAAACACCATGTACAATTATTAAAAAAGGTTCATATTAGTGCTGTCAAATGATTAATCGTGATTAATCGCATCCAAAATAAAAGTTTTTGTTTACATAATATATGTTTGTGTACTGTGTACATTTATTATGTATATATAAATACATACACAGTATATATTTCAAAAATATTTACATGTATATATTTATATTCATATAATTTATATTATATATAAATATATTTAAAATATAAACATAACTTATTTTTCTTAAATATATACATGCATGTGTGGGCATTTATATACACATAATAAATATACACAGTACACAAACATATATTATGTAAACAAAAACTTTTATTTTGCATGCGATTAATTGTTTGACAGCACTAGTCCATATTGATTTTTATTTTTTGTCTTTAATGCATAGGTAAAGCAAAAGCTTGCGATTTACTGAACCAGAGCACTCGAAAGCACTCCTGGAGCACTTGTGCATTTGATTGCGATGATTTATTGGGTAGTTGGCCAGCCGTTTCATAGTACCTGCATACTCAGGGAAGCAGATGGTCAAGGGACTGTGTGTGATCTTCTGCTCAAACAGATCCTTCTTGTTGAGGAACAGGATGATGGAGGTCTCGGTGAACCACTTGTTGTTGCAAATGCTGTCGAAGAGCTTCATGCTCTCATGCATTCGATTCTGTGGTAGAATTAAGAGACTGGTCAGTATTCAGGAGCTATTCTTAAAGGTATTCTTTCAAGACAGCCTGTTTAATTTCAATGATAAAGAGTGTGGAACATGGTAACTTAAATCTAAATTTTGCTGCCAGAAACCTAACAAAATGTAGAACTGCAGCTTCTTTAATTTTTAGTGTTATGTACTGTGAATTACTGACTAACATGGTGTAAAATCTAAGAGGGTCTCACCATTTCTTCATCCTCAGCCA